ACATGGCTAGGAGCCGACCTCCGTTGCTTTTGTATTGTGAATCACTTTATCCCTGCTCCTCCTCTTTAGCTTCCGCCTCCAGCCACAATCTCACGTCTAATGAGTAATATCATCTTTAGCATCACATTCATTTTTTTAATTCCATAAGCTTTGATATCTCATCTTTTTGTATTCCGGCACATTAGCTTGTAGCCTAAAGGTAACGGGCTTGCCTTGTAATCTGACGGCGCGCGTTCGAGCCTGCGTCGGGGCAGGGCGACCCTCACAGTATTCTTAGCTCACTTGCGACCGGTGGTGGCTGCGCAGCAGGGAAGCGCCGGTATTGCGTACCGACCTACTACTAGTGCCTTATGTTACGGAGAGTCAGCGTTCAGGATGAGAGTAGGGCCGCAACAGTGGATCGATCCATATTTAGAGATCGAACGCGAATATAGATCAAAATGCTAATCTATGGGGAATCAACGGCGAATTGGGCTATGAACTTGAACCGTTTGAGTTGTGTTTATTAATATTAGTTCGCATCTCCGATTTTGTTGTATTAGTCGTTTTCTACGACCTATTTATTGCACCATGCACTCATACAATAGAACCAAAATACGGATCCCTCGGGCCGGCTGGTCTTATTGTTTTCATTTCGTGGCGGGTTGAACTGGTTAGGGGCAGCACGGTAGATTCAGGCAGGTTATTCGTAAAGTCAGCGGAAATCACAACACATTTCTGGTAACGGTCAGCTGCACGGTAGCAGCAAGTTAGTCGTACAATGAGCGGCACCACAACACCTTACTTTCTTCACATTAACTGAGGTGTCTTTCACCCCAGCTATCATGTATCGATGATGAGTGTCGTCACTCAGCATACCAATCTGAGTTCTGTTAGCTGTTACTTTACACATGTTGCTTACAGTTATGTTCTACTTAAGTACTTCGTACTAATTTTGCTTACATCATCGAACTTATTTGCTCAGTCAGAAACAGCTATCTCTTGTTTAGCCACATAATGTCATACAAAATCTGGACGGTTACTGCATGCGACACATTGCCCATGAGTTCCGGTTCATGATTGTTTGCTCATAGCCACAATTAGGGCTGCATTATCTCACGAGTCTCTCTATCAAGATAATGGGTCTCGTTACTACATTCCTTTTAAACCATATTGTGGATGGTCCACTCTGTTTGTGATTTCCCTAATATAAGCTTAGCCAGCGATCACACCTACTCATCCTGACGACTGGTTTTTGGCTGTTATTTTAATGATACCATGTTTTGTGGAAGTAATTAAGGTATTGAACCATCGACTACTTCAGCTCCGCTTCTTGTCGCTTTATGGTTCGACACTATTCTTGTAGATTGATATTGATATACTGTCCCTAGCGTTTTCCGTACATCCTACTTTCAAAGTAAGGAAGTAGAGCATACGTTCGTAAACTGATTCTGCCTAAAGGTGTGCGATAAATAGATGTTCTAAGTGCTAATGAACATAGCGGCCAGCCCATCAACAAGAACATTTACCGGGCGTTGTCGATTTGTCTAAGCCTCTGGTTTGTGGTCCACTGGTCGTCGATCCGAGCCTGCATAAGTGCAAATGGCCTCACAACATCTCTAGTCCGCACTCGACTGGTGGTAGTTCCGTGGTAACGTTATCAGGAAGGGCCGTCGTACTGCTGATGTCATGTTGCTCAGATTGTTTGCACCTTTTGTTTGCTTAATCTTTTTGAAGCCAACAGCGAAGTCCACTGTGCTCTAGTCAGACAGGGTAATTTCTATGATCCGAATTTATTGGAAAGGAAAGTAATGGACAAGTAAGAATGAGCTTCCGTCTTTGAAATGAGCACGGTGGGTATCTTTACATTCAGGGGTTTTTGTGACTTTCAAACGGAGAAATTCCTGGGTACTTCGTTTCCACTTGGCGCTGCTACATCTGCGCAGCGAGGAACGCTGCAGGTTTTTGAAGGCGGAGTCGATGGTGTCCGGCCTAGTGTACCAGTTGAATTTGACGCTTCCGGTACTTCTCAACACTGATTGCACCTAAAGTATAGATTACAGTCAACATCTTGTCACCGATAGCATGGATAACAGTTAAAAACGCATCATAACTTGTTGAGGAGTCAGTTTATTTTGCCTCGGCAACTTAGTGTGCCCGCTAGTTACACCGTTGTTTCTGAGGGGATGTCTGTTTTTAGCACTCTTAACTCTTTACGGTGGATTGTACTCAACACCAACTGGAATTGTTCTATCGATCTGAAGTAGTTTGTGGGATCGTACAGAGATGCACTCGATGACAATGTAGTTGGTCGTAACACAGATGGTGATGGCTAACCTGCGCAGGTTGCATCTACCACACACATTTTAAGTGTCCTGAAGGTCGTCGAAAATCTCCGTGATGACGGGATTAACTTTTAACTCTTGGTACCATCTTGGCACTGCACTACGTACGTGGACCGAGTCTGGATAGGTATTCAAGAATTATTTAGTTATCACCAGTACGCCGGTACTCAGTATCGACGCTTCGATTCCGCGCAACCATTAGCATTCGCGTGCGGGCTACGCATACTGCGAGGATCGTCCAATCCCCTACGTAGGCTCTAACCTGCGCCCTCGGGCAACAACTCAAGGTTGTTATTCTTTAGGCTACGGGTCGGCATTCAAGGATTATTTACAGCCCTTTTTGCATTTTCGCTAACGGTACCTGATGGCTGTGCCATCAGTTTTCACTAGCAATTTGACATGCGGTGGAGGTTATTAGTTAACACTGTGAAGACCCATCGCGTCTGCAGGAGTTGACTTCGTGCTAGTCGTTATGTGACCCACTAGTGTCGTAGAAATGTTAATCACGGAATTTATGTTCCCACATTCAAGTCCACCAACACAATCTTTTAGGTTTCTGGTAAACACCTCGACGTCCGTTTTAAATAAGCCCATTGGATAATCAGAAGTAAGTGTAATCAAACATAAATAAGTTTTCGATTACTATTCAATGCAGCTACATTTACGGAGATCATTGAGTTGATGGTGGAAAGCCTCCATTTGGTCCGGCATGCAGTCCTTGCATCTAAACGTCGCTGCAACGAATAGGTATTGTCTGCTGGTCCCGCGGCCGGACCATCGCACTGAGCGTATAACCGAAAATACACCAACTCCTCTGTTGATTGGAATGCTGTTTAATAAGCTTACTTTTGCGTGTGCGCTAGGTGTCTTGATAAGCATACTTTGAATGCGCCATCAGAATTTGTGGATGATGGAACCATTCGCAACACAATGTTATAACCTTATAATCGCGATTCACTGAAGCTACGAACATCAGCGATGAAGGCTGTGAATATATTGGCACATTCTTTCGAGCATAGAACGTATTCATTTTAAATGTTGATCACGGTTGCAAATTCTGCTGGCACTATTTGGGAGCGAACTGTTCATCACTGCGTCTATAACATTCGCCTAAACCAGTGCAGTGCTGGATACTTTGAAGCGGATGGCCCCGCTAAATAAGATCGTAGTTGATCAAGCAAGAAATAGCAAAAGCATTCCGTGGCTTGTTATTTTGTGATATATTGGATCCGGTCGCTATTTCCTGGGCCATTCGAGGTGTCCCATATGACGGAGACGGGAAACGGTTATCCTTCAAAATATGTCACTAATCTACGTGAACCTGGGTCTTCTCAACTGTAAATGTCGAAGTTACGTTTACTTATGAGATCCTACAGGGAGCGTTAAGTTATGGAATCCCGAGATACAAAACGATGTTTTGATCAATGCAATTCGCTGGCCTTTAAGTGCAGATTGGTAAGCTTTCAATATCATGATTTTTGAATGATGTCCAACTGCTTGCAAGCGCAGTTTACGCTTTCACGTTGATACGGAATCCTACAGAATCTTTCATTGATCACCGGAGGCACAGCCATGCACGAATAAGTCTGGCAACTAGGTGTCCAAATTTTTCCATGAATTTGGTGTTTGTTCTAATGATGTGGGTTTTGAGCATCACGTAATCCAATAACATAAAACAGCTTTTTTCTCGGGACGCATATTTACTGACCTAGAGGTGAATGATATTCCACCTCCCATTGTGTACGTTCGTATTCGTTTTAACTATATCAGGCAAGATCGTTGTACACAAATAAGGTGGTCTATTCGCTCACCTTTCTATTCCGTGAACCAAGCTTTGTATACCTACATGTTTAGTCGATCGCGCTTGATCCGTTTAGCACTGTTCCATGTACTGGTTACTACGTACGGATGTTTCGATGCCAGGTGACTGTCAGCGGTCGCTTGCATACTGTGATGCTGCGAAGTCGCTAATTCGAACCGGTGAACTGGCGCAAGGCTCGAGGCGGACAGAACTTGACTTGGCAACGGGAAGTGAAGTCACTGACGACCAACCTCGGTGCCGTTGGTCCGTCTCCTCTTCCGTGCTGGAGTCCACGTGACTCGCCTTGTGCTTTGCGCAAGACTTTAAAGGACATGACTCGCAACCGACACCAGGGGCGCGGTTGCTGCCGTCTCCTCATCGGATTGCCTGTTTAAAGTATGTTTGGTGCTGAATTATCTGCGGGGTATTAGCTGCTTATGACGTGGGCCAGTGAAAGCCGCAAGGAAGCTGTCTCGCCGCTACCGCCTTATCTTCGCACGATAGCCAGTTGTTTGTGACGGTATATTGTCTACACAAGATGTAGGCGTCTTGACCTTGGATGTTTGCTTAGGGCATTAAGGTTTTCAGGCAAGTCCCCCTTCTCTCCCTCTTGTTATACTTTGTTTCATAGCTCGTCATGGTTGTATGGCAACGAAGGAACAGTTCAAATGGCTGATGTACTGTGGTTGTTGTTGTCGTTGTTGACCCATCGATTACGCGCTAACTCCCTAAGCCACTCCGCCACCGGTCGGACGGTATACTTATTTGTTTGTATTGCAACTGTTCACTCTTGAACCAAGTGATCTAGTTAATGAGTTTTACTCTCATTACTCTTTTTATCAGTATTTTTACATTCACTGCTTTGTTTTTCGGCAGCCCAGTGTTTGCATCCGGAGAATGGTGACTGCTTTTGCATAACGCATTTGCCTTCCGGTGACCTGATGACGATGGCGGATGTGGGTGTCTTGACAAGCGCCGTACTTTGCGTAAAACACAAGCGCAAGGTTTGTGCCACGTTTTAGTTATAATTCATTGCAGTGGAAGAAAAGACTTTGCACTCTTTTGAAGCCGGCCACTTTTAACGGTAACAAGCATTCTGTTTAATTAAGCATGTTTTAGATTCATTAAAACTACTCGTGATGGATAATGAGAGCAACTCATGTCTAATTGAAGACGTGATCCACGCCTTTTTGTGGTTTCTTGATCCGAATCACCATAGCACTTTGATGCTTGTTTGCGATTATAAAGTTCGTTGTATCTCCTTCGACTGCATTGAAGACCTAACTACGTGGGTGGAACTACTCAAAAAGCACCTGAAATGTAAGTTATGTTTATAGCTTTTTTACCACTTATACCATCTACGAATAACCCACTTCTTATTAGAATGTATGCACAGTGTTCACTTTTATTTTGCCTTATCTACATGCGGCTTCCGTCTTCCCTCATAAATAAATAAATAACTAAATTCAACACTTTACCAGTTACAGTGCAGTTGGCTGAGTGCCACAACACACAAAAGCAGTTAATTCAAACGGAAACCGAAGCTTGAAGTGTCACAGCAAGTGCGCCATTGCATACGATTTTTGGGGATATCCAGCATCGTTTGCAATCAGATGTGCTCGAGATCCTTTGGTCACCAACCCGGGAATCTGGAACGCCAACAACAACCAGATTCGATGTCTGCGCCCTAACGCACGCGGTCCAGGTTTTACAGATTTTACAGTGGCCTTCTTGTCGTCGCTTTCATTGCATGCCTGCGCTCGCAAATAAGGCACCTCATGGTAACAGCTAAATAGACATGCGAAGCACCTATCTAAGCCAAAAAAGCCTTCGCAGTGAAATGATGCTGTCAATCGGTCGCCAGAGTGTTTGTCAGGGTTGAAGGCTCGCCGGTGGACCTACTTATTACTGATGTGATGCTGCTATCGAACACTAGCAATGCTTTGCAGGCAGCGGTGATCGAAGACAGATAGCCGCTGAACGTCATTTGTGCATACGAGCCAAGTCTCGGAGCTGTGTAGCAGAATCGCTCGTAATGCAGCATTGTAGACTCGTCCCTTGAGAGCGAGACTGAGGTCACGACGAAGACATAGGTGACGAAGGTTAGCAACAGCTACTCTAGTCTTGGAGACACGCAAGGAGATTTCATCCGTTAAACTGCCAATACTAAAATAGCTCCTAAGGCAAGTGTATTTGTCCACTACTTCCGGCGGATGCCGCGAAATTGAGAGAAGATGCAATTGGCTAGTTCTGTAACAGAACATTGCACTTGAAAGGGGCAATGGTCAGCCTAAATCGGACGGATATCTCTAGTCTAATCAACACATGGCCTGGGAGCACTTACAAATCACTGCAATGTCACCTGCGTTCTCCAAGTCCCGAAGGTAGTCACCCGGAAGCAGTCAGACGCCGCAGGACTCAGACTTTTCCAGGGCAATCTCCTCCATGGCGTCGATGAATGAGAGTGGAAAGGCTGGACAACCCTGTCTAGCACCACTAGTTCTATTGAAGAGGAGCGAAAAGTCTCTGTATACTCGTATGCGGCCCGAAATTTAACGATAAATGGCATGGGGAATGCTGATGTACTTCCAAGGTACTCTAGTCTGCAGTAATCAGTCTCAAAGTACCGTTCTCAACAGAGTCAAACGCGGTTCGAACCTCCAAGAATATGACTATGGCTGATCGAGTGAACGCATGATGGTGTTGAACCATCTGGCAGATCGTAAAGATGTGATCGACATAACTGCGATCAGGGCGAAACTCAACTTGCTCTTCACACAGGTGCTGTTCTCGTACGCAACTGAGCCTCCGCAAGAGTAGGGCAGCGAGCAGTTTTCATGTGACACTAATGAGACTGATCCCACGATGATTGGAGTAAACGGTCCGGTCTCCTTTTTTGTAGATAGGTACAACATCCGCTAATTTCCAGTCGGGTGAGATGGTTTCGCTTGTCCAAATTTAATGAAAGAGGGATGTCAGTTCACGGGTGAGAGCAGGACTCCCATATTTGGAGAGGTCAGGATGGAGTTCATCTTGGCCACGTGACTTGTGGCTCCTTAGTAGGCGAAGCTCATGAGAAATCTCGGCGTCAGTTGGTCAATAAACATCCATGCGCCAGGGAGCACTGTGAATCCCAGACTTGGTTGTGCTGGTGGCCAGTTACACTGATATTCAGAATGCTCTCAGCCTACCAGCCGACGGTGACGACTGTGAATTAGTTCGTCGTCATTTTCACGCAAAACTCACTCACTGTTGGCATTCTGCCTCCCGTGGAGCGAATCAGTTAGAAGAGTTTGCGGGAAGTTCCTTGAGGAGGCTGCTCGCTCCATCTCAACGACGCCTTGTGTCCACCAGACATCGCGATTCTTTCTGAGAAGCTGTCTGAGCTCAGCACCTGTGGTTCTGCGTAGAGCGTTGTACTCAACTCCGGCGGGAAAGCGCTCGGCTGCTTTCCATTAATTGTAGAAATTGCGGAGATCTTATGACTGGCAGCTCGTCTAGTGGAGTCACAGACCAAGGTAGCAGACTTACGTAAAGCGCTCTGAATCGGTGTCCAGTGAGTTTCAACGTCGGAAAATAGAAGACGCATGTTGACGTCTAATGTGATCCGCAATGCGCCGATAACATTTGAATCAGCAAACTTGTCTGTGTCAAGCCGTTTCCGGCGACGCTGTTGGATGCCTCCGAAACGCAGAACGACCTCAGCATACACGAGCGCATAATTCGAAGTCAAGTAAGTGTTCTAAATTGACTTGCAGTCCGTTATGCGGCCTCGCTAACAGTAGCTAAAGCGATGTGGTCAATTTGCGTTCACGTTTGACCAGGCACCGAAGGTCACTAGGGGGTTCGTTGGCATCAGGAACGCCGGAAATTGGTACTCTTAAGAAACAAGTCGTGGTCGGCGCACAGTTGATGGAGTCGATCGCCGTTGTCCGTCATGCGAGTACGGTGGCTGTGTTGACCCCCAAATTCGCGTCCGTGAACTTCTAGTCTATCGACCTACGCATTTAGGTCTCCGGCGAGTACCACGATGTCTGTGCGACGTTTCTTGCATAGGTCGGTGAGTTAACGGTAGAGCTCGTCTTTAGCTGCATCCAGGCTGCAGTCCGTAGGAGCGTACACAGCTACAACAAATAAGCAGCGCCTACTGGTCACGTGGCTGGATGATCACACTGAACTTTTCAAGCGGACTGCACAGAGACAACTGTTGACCGGGAACCAGTCAATGAGTGCGGCCTCAACACGCGCGCTTAACGCAACTCCTCGCCTTAGCAACCAGAGGCTGCAGCTGTCGCATCACCAGATAAGTGCAAGGTGAATGTGCAATCGGAACTTGAGGATGGTGAGAGCAATCGCAGCTTTGTGCTAGTATACTGTAAACGGGTTTCAGTTATGCAGCAAACATCGTTGGAGATGGTTTCCAAGGTGCGCGCAAGAGCAGCTTGTGATCCAAGCTTCATAAGCGTTCGAACATTAAACGTAGCTAGCTTGAATAACGAGCGGGGTGCAATAAAAGCCTTGCTGTTGAGATTAGATTATGTGCGATCGGTTTTGAGCGGCTTATTGATGAGGTCAGAAGTATCTTTGTAATGCGTCTTTGGAGCCTCAAAAAAGGGGGTTGCCAAGAGCAGGAGCGTTGAATAAATATGGAACTGTGCAGGTAGTTTGCGGTGCGGTAGAGTGAGGTTTGGCTTCCCCGGCCGCCAGTACTTCGGCCAACACTTCTTAGGTCTTGCTTTGATCACTCAAAGAGCGAGAACCGCGAGAAGAGTCGTAAATCCATCATTTCACGTGCTATGTGGACATACAGCTTCCCGGTTGGCCAGACTGTGGAAAGGGGTTTACTTATGGTGCCCCACCAAGAATCCTTCGGTCACAAGGACCTGACCCGCAAGGTAGCGGGGCGAATTCAGGATATCGCTCCCATTGGGAGCCGTTCACCGATCGTTCACTTCTTACGCCTTTGGTTTAATGGGCTACCAAACAGGGGCCCAGTACTCCCAGAAATTCCCGTACGATGTTGTAAAGATAAACGATGGGCAAGCTGAATCACAGCCTGGCTTCGTTCTTTTCTACTCTTTATGTTAACTATCTCTCCACGTATTTCATTGCTTTTGTTTCTTCAACTTGGGGACATGAGTGAACGTATATGACTTTGCCATGTTGTCGTTTACTTCATTGCTTATCTCAGTGATCCATAGTTTACCAGTTGTCGCAGTTGAGAGCAAGGTAGCTATTTTTTGCACTTTACTGTTCATGGAGCAGAACCATCTGCGGACTTCCACACTTACATGGCGGTTACAGTATTCCCTTTACTTCTGCTTTTACGGACCACCCACCTGAAAAGCGACGCATCAGGTCGTCTCAATTCCCCCACACTATTCGAGAATTTCTTTAACTTAGTACGGCGCACTTTTTCTCTTTGATTGCTTTCTGTTTGGACTCCTTGCTCTCTTCTCTCTGCTCACCACATTCACATGTCCTTTATGACACTAACTACAACGCAACCACTTGTCCTTACTTCCGCTTCTACGCACCTCAGTTTAGTTATTTAACCTATTTTCTCCTACCTCCAGATCATTGAATGCAGTCCTGTCTTGTTGCTTTTCGATTTATGCACAATCCGTCGGTACCAACCAGCATTAATTTCCTCTTTTTATTACTGTTACCCATAGTGACCGTCATCACTATGTACCGAAGTTGATACAGGAGTTTCACTTCCTGTCTGTGAAAGTCGTCAAGTGGCAGCATCCAAATCTGCTCCAGCTGCTTTTTTTAACTGCACCGAAGCACCTCCATGCTGCTATTGTATTTCTTACGAATCCACCTCTACTACTGACTCATCTTGTTGGAAACGATAGCCACCAACTCTGATAACTACTTTCCCGTCTTACGTTGTTTGCCTATTTGCCGAGCGGTTCCTCGACATCACAGCTATACGGGTTACCAAAAACTCACAAGCAGGGCATGCCACCCATTTTGTCCATGGTAAATTCCCCGCAGCACAAATTGGCTCGTTGGTTAGTTCGAATCCTTGCACCACTGAGGCAGCGTTACAATTTGCACAGCATTAAGGACTCTTTTGAAATAATCGAAGACCTAGACCAAATCAGCCTAGCCGACAAGGTTATGTGCTCAGTGGACATCCAATCGTTATTTACTAATGTCCCCTTGCTTGAGACAGTTGATTACATTTGCCACCTGATAGAAGAGAAGAATTTCCGTCTACCAATACCGACAGACCTCCTGAGACAGTCCCTGTTACTTTGCACGGAGAATGTCGCTTTCCGATTCGACCACAACACATATCGCCAAAGTGA